AAATATTGTAACTTCTAATTGTGTTTATTTGCCTCATTCTTTTGTTGCTATTTTTGCAGATCTTAAATGCAAACAGCTTGTCACTAAGCAGATATATGACTGTAATTTATACCTATACAAATGCTGCAGGTATAAGCAAGGATTTTACTGATGTCAAGAGTGTTTTGAGACTTCTGTCTTGCCAGTCACAGTGGCATGTACCAACAGACCCAGCTATTCAGGAAACAGATGCAGTAGGATTATTTGAACCCAGCAGTTGGAAGTTACTCTGGGCAAACAAAATAGCAAGATATCGCCTCTTAAATAATATAAAATAAACACTGCTGGACAAATAGTAATACTTTTGTACCTAAATTTACGTGGTGTGTGTACTAGTTACTTTTCTGTTGCTCTGATAAAACACCATGACTGGGGGCTGGAGAGATGGCCCAGAGGTTAAGAACACTGGCTGCTCCTCTAGAGGATCCAGGTTCAATTCCCAGCACCCACATGACATGCAGCACTCACAACTGTCTGCAACCCCAGTTCCTGGGGATCCATCCCAGCAGGCATGCGTGTGGTGCACATATCTGAGCATCCAGGGAAAATATCCATACATATAAAGCAAATTTAAAAAAATAAGAAATAAAAAAACACTGTGACCAACAACAATTTACAGAAAAGATGGTTTATTTTGGCTTAGGGTTTCAGAGGGCTAAGAGCCCATCATGACACAGGAGTGATGTGACAGCTGCAGGCATAGTGACCAGAGCAGGAAGCAAAGAGATCACATCTCCAACCACAGACATGAAGTAGAGAGAGGGAACTGGAGATAAAGAGAGCTATAAATTCCCAGTGACACACTTCCTCCAGGAAGGCTGCATCACCACCCCCAAACAGTGCCACCAACTGAGGACCAAGTGCTTAAATTCCTGAGCCAATGAGGGACATTTCTTATCCAAACTATCATAGTGTTCCACAGACGATTCTGAATAAATCAATGTATTATAGGTGGAGTTATAAACTGCATTATATGGATATATTTTAGACAGCAACATAACCTTCTCATTCCTAAAGTCATTTCATTTCTGGCTTTCCTATTACATAGTTAAAATTACTTTTATTCAGACCTACTCCTTATAGACATTATATATACAGATACACACACAGACACACAGACACACACACACACACACACACATATATATATATATATATATATAATATATATATTATATAATATATTATATATATTATATATACACTCAGACAGACAGACAGGGTGGACAGAGAAATGACTCAGCAGTGAAGGGCACTTACTGTTCTTACCCAGGACCCAGTCAGTTCTCAACACTCACACAGTGGCTAACTATCATTTGTATCTTTTGTAACTCTAGTTCTAGGGGATCCAACGCCCCTTCTGATCTCCAAAGGTTCCTGCATGCATGTGGTGCACATACACACACTCAGGTATATACACAGACATACAATTATTTTAAGTATGTGTATATTATTTTAAAATTAAAACAATTAGTGAAACAATTCTTAAAAATAAGTAACTAAAATAGACAAACTTTCAAACTCATGAAGTAGTGTTTATAAAATATATAAATTGTTCTAAGTTTTTTCTCACTAATTGCTTTTGACTTTTGACACTTAAAATATATAAAAGTGTGTTTGTTTTTCTAGAAATATTAGGTTTTTATTTTGTTTTTCTAAACAGGTTTTCTCTGTGTAGCCCTGGCTATTCTGGAACTCACTCTGTAGACCAGGCTGGCCTTGAACTCAGAGATCTACCCTGCCTCTACCTCCCAAGTGCTGGCATTAAAGGTATGTGCCACCACCGCCCAGCAAAAGGGAAAATATTTTTTTAAAGGTTTACTGTATGGGTATATGTGCTTGAGGATGTGTGCTATGCACAGGCAGGTGACCTTGGGAGGCCAGGAAAGGGCATTTATGCTGTAGAACTGGAGTTACAAGAGGAGCTGCCTGACATAGGTACTGGGAACCAAACACATGCTCTCTCTGCAAGAACAGCAGATGCTCTAAACCACTGAGCTGTCTGTCCAGCCCAGTGGTCCCCAACCTTTCTAATCCCGTGTACCTTCAATACAGTTCCTCCTGTTAATGTGACACCCCCAGCCATAAAATCATATTCATTGCTATGTCATAACTGTAATTTTGCTACTGTTATGAATCATAATGTAAATGTCTGTGTTTTCCAAGGGCCTTAGGCAACCCCTGTGAAAGGATCCTTCCATCGGCAAAAGGGTCACAATCCACAGGTTGAGAATCACTACCCCAGCCCCAGAAAAGTACTTTTATAAAACTTAGGATTCTTCCATACACAAGATTAAGTTGTTTTTGTTTTCAAAATCTTTTCCTTTCTTAAAATTTATTTTTATTATTTTTTAATTATGTGTAGAGTCCAGAAGGCAGTGTGTGACCCCCTGGAGCTCCAACTACAGGCAGTTGTATAAGCCACTCTTCTGTAGGTGTAGGGAACCTAACACAGACGATTAAGGTCAGTATGTGCTCTGAGCCCCTGAACTGTCTCTCCAGCCCCTTCGAAATCATTTTCAGTGAAAAGGTTCTGCAGACAAGCCATTATCTCTGCTGCTTGTCTACCAACCCTCACCACCCCGTCCAGTTTCTAACCGTGCGGCCTTGAACAGGTCAGGCAATGTTACCTCCTTCTGCCGTCATGGCCATATTAAATTCCTTCTATGTGTCAGGAATGTTCTTGGCTGAGAGATACAGGCTGAGGATACTGAGATTCACAACAACAACAAAAGTCCCTTTGCAAAAGCCTATTAAGAAATCCCAAGATTAAGTCATTATAATATTAGCCCTGGGCATGAGGGTGGGGCAGGGGCGGTGCCTGAAATCTAACCCAGAGGCTCATCCATGCTAGGGAAGTATCTTACCACTGAGTTATAGCCCCCAAATTAGCCACAATTATTTTACAAAATGAAGGACTACTTTAGTAACTGTTACTTTAGTCCTGTTTGAAAGGCAAGTTTTCACCAGGCCCCTAAATGTGTCTCAGCTGGTGAAAAGCAAAGGAGACTGTTGAAAACAGACTCCAAATGAACCCAAATACCCTCCACCTCTCCTTGTGGCACAGCTCTACAGATCCTGCTAGCCGCGGGTAAAACATCACAGCCAGAAACAAGGCCCGGCAAATGACTTTTTGATGGACGGCATCCCACAGAGCTCTGTCTGGATCCTCAAAGCGCTGTTCAATGATGCTGAGGAAGGTCTGTTTACACCTGGAGGTTACAGCTGACTACTGTACAGCGCAGAATCTGACAGCTGCAGAATTCAACTGCAGTGCAACTTAATCCCTCACGAAGGAGCTACGATGTTCAGTTTCCAGGCTGCCCTTGCAGGACCTGCCACGAGCCATCTTCTTATGTATTCAAAATGATTATATAATCACAGACTTCGTTTGCTACAGTCACCACTGTTTCACAGGAAGCACCCCTCAGACAGCCCCACCCCCAACACAGAATTTCAAAACCTCCAACCAGGAGGACAAATGACTCCTGCTGGCTCCAAAGAAGACACATGAAGGAAAATGATAAGAGCAACTCTCAAGGGAGCACATCCCTCACAGACAGATTAGGTGCCACCATACACACCTCATTAAATCCAAGTACCTGAGACATGTTTGCACCTATACCAAATAACATGGACCACCACCGAAGTCTGGACCTGCCTTAGTCATTTTAGGTTACAACCTCAAAAGTGTTCACAAGAAGCTGGTAACTATTCACTTCCTATTAGATTCATTTCATACTATTCTGCCAAAAAAAGAAAGGAAATCTGAGGTCGACTGTCTGCAAGCTGGGGAAGGCTGGCCATGATCTGCCCTCTCACACAGGCCTTGCTATTAGCAGCAGAGACAGACTCCGGCCGCCTCCTCCGTATATCCACGCAACTCTATCCAGTATCAGGTTCTTGCCTGCAGACTCAGTGGGTCCACAGCTGTCCCCAGGGAAGGTGGCAGGAGAGGTACATGAGCAGGAGAAAGGAGGACAGGCTAAGCTGCTAATTATTATTAACAAAGTCCTTGGATCCATCCTGCCCAGCCACAGGTCCCAGCCTGAGGAGAATCCCGTAGAAACTTGGGATCTGGAGTTAGCACAGACTCCTACACACACTCTACAACCTGGTGTGCACTCCTGGACCCTCTGACAGTTCTATGACAGCTGTACCCAGTCGAGACACTGGAGGCCAGGCTGTGCCATCACACTTTGACCCATGTGGTCTCATTACTAGGCTTCCTCCCACCTTCCTGTCTTCATCAGGAATTGTTCTTACCTCTACTAACACCCCCAGCACCCCCCAACAAACACACGCACACACACACACACACACACACACACACACACACACACACACACAGAATTTCCAGAACCTTCTGCTTTTCAGCTTTCTGAGTAGAGGCAGGAGGATCCCACGGCACCAGCTTCACCACTTTCTAAATGTGTGACCTTAGGCAAGTTGTCTAATCCCTTAAAGTCGGACTCTTTATCTGTGCAACAGTGCTGACCTCAGCCCTCCGAATAAGGATTAGATGAAACAACACAGAATGCACTTAGTGAAATCCATTCATTCACAGATTTGCTAAGTGCCCACTTTGCAAAGGAGAAGGTTTTGTGACTGGGGATGACTGCCATTCCCTTCCTCCACTATCCTATTTTTGATCATGGTAAGACAAACAAATTTCACCATTAACAAGCCTACAGTTAGTTGAGTGGCATGAATGCACGCTCACACGGTTCTTGGCCATCTCTGGGAGCAATGTCTGCACAGAGCTCTCCCGCTGGCCACGGGAACCCTAATCTCTGAACGTGAACTCTCCCACTCAGCTAAGGAAGCACTAGCTCCAACAAAGGCCTGGACAAACGGACCGTCTCCAGCCCACTTCATGTAAAAACCACTCCTCCTTCAGTGTTCCCCTATGCACGGTCAGGTCATATCACCCTCCACCCCAATCGGAAGCTGACACCTACCTATCTCAGGTATCTTCTCATTCACCGAGGAAACGCGGTACGGTGGCCCTTAAGTCTCCGCTCTCTCTCCTGTCCTTTTCCTGTACGTCTGTTTCCTGTACGTCTGTGCCCAACAGTTAGCTCCTACAAGGAACAAGAGCACAGGAGACAATCTGGATTAGAATCTCAACTCCATTTTGGGATTCCCCGTGTAACCTGGCCCAGTTTTATCCCCTCCCTGGGCCTCCATGCCTCCTCTGTAGATGAGGATGAACCATTCGTGGTGCTGTTGACCTACCCGACCCATGAAAGCACTTAGAGCTGTGTCCAGCACACGATGTCGCAGTGGCTGTCACTCATCACACCCACCCCCCAGCTCCCCAAACTATACTCTACTACCAGGCACACTGCAGTCAGCAGTGTCATCCAAGCTTGAGCTGCCCACAAGTCCCAGTCCTTCCAGCAGACACAGAGCCCCTCACCCAAGGTCCTGGCTCTTTGGTGGCCCTTGAGTGTGTTCTGCTCTTCACGCTCAGACCTCACAGATCGCCCAGTCATCCACCTCAGTCCCCTGGCCTTTACTTTCCTCATTCTGTCACAAGATGGGAATCAGACCAGAACTCGGCTCCTCAGCTACATCCCAGGCCAAAAAGATCAGAGAGAGACGGTGTGTGCAGCCCAGAGGCGCTGGAGCCCTGGAATTCTCAGACCCAGAAAAGCCCTCAAGACTTAAAAAAAAAAAAGTCCCCTTCAACTTCTCTGACAACTGCTCCACCCTTGTCACCCCCCTCCACCCAGAAGTGCAAACCCAGCAAGTTTGATAGGATAGCCTCCCTGCCTCTCTGTTCCTCACCAGGATTCAGCCACAGGCACTGGCCCAAACTTTACACTTTGATTCTAAACCAACTTTCCCTGAGACCCTCTTCTAAGTGTTGACCACTGTACACACCTATTTATCCCTACTTAGACAAGAACACTACAGCTGCCTGGGCTCCTGCTGGGCTGGCTCCGGGCCTTTTCAGGTGTCTCCCTCTGCCAAACAAACCTCCATCCCTCACCTACACACTCCCTGGAGATGCTCCACTAAACTCATCTCCTCCAAGAAGCCTGTCCTGACCCCTCCCTCCCGTCTCTAACCCTCTGCACGCCTCCAAGAACACCTCACTCTTTCCTCCTGATTGTGTCTCTCTACCAGGGCACAGAGCTATGCCTGACACAGTGTGCCAATAACTGCTCCATAAATAAACCAATGGGTACCGCAGGCTCTGCTTTCAGCTCTGAAATGGTTTATTGGGATGGTTTATTTAAAATTTCAATTAAGACTCATAAACCAACCACTCATAGGAGATGTTGTACGTTTTCTTTCCCTGAATTAGATTAGGAAACAGCCCCTGCCCTTGCCTTCCCAGAACAAATGGATTCCTTTGTTGGAGGGGAAAGAAACAAAAACACTACTTCCTCAGCAAAAACTGAAAACAGCAAAACAGCTTATAAAGGGTGCCCAGCTGACATAGGCTTAGGGAGCATAAGAACAGTGGTGTGATCCAGAGGGGACGTTTACTTTGGATGACTACTGGATCACACATACTATACAAGAAAGCTGAGCACAAGAATCCATCTCAGGGCTGTTTATAAGGCACAGGGAGGAAGAGGAGGCCGTTAGCTGCAATGGAAATTTCCTTCTTTTGTCTGGTTGTACTTCTGGTATGCCTACCACACCAAACTCTCAATAGTGACTTATGACAATTTCATTTATAGGAAATGATTTCAAAGGGCCCAGGGAGCTGCAGATGGAACCCTGGGGGCCCATCTGTTTAAGGATGAAAGCATAGCACACCCCATTACATCACCCTGACCTTCCTCAGTAACTTCCTAGCTGACAAAACCTAGATGTTTGCTCGGTCAACAAGATATTTGTGTTTGTCTCCAGCCTCAGGCTCTGGTTCCTGATTAGTTTTAAAATCATTATGCATCCAAACTGAATGGGGCCACTGTCAGCAGCTGGAAGGCCACCCTCTGGGCACAGCCCCAGCTCTGTGGGCTTCGGGAGTGACTGCTGTCCTTTTTTGCATAACTGCAGTCTCTGATGGTTCATCCTCCAGCCCCCTTCCAGAGCTGAAGTCTCTTCTTGTCATCCTCTTTCCTTGGGCGACCCCAGAAAAGGGAAGAAGGGTGCAGCAAGACCTCAGGCTCTCCTCAGATAAATGCTGTAGTGCAACACATTCCAACTCAGGCATCCTACTGCCTCAGCTCCTATCTTACACAACACCTTCCAGCCTCAACTCCAGGATAGCTATTATTTTCTGGTCACTCACAGACCCTGGAACATCCTAGTGTTCACAGGTACAGCTCCATGTCAGTCAAATATGCTCAGGTGAGCACAGACAACACCTTTTGCCACTCTACAATACAACAACAAAACCTATATCCTCTCAACTCTTCATCCTCCGCCCTCCACAGGGCACGGCCACAGACGAAGTGTCTAGAACCTCCTGAAAAACCAGCTACCTTGGGAGGCGAGAGAGGAAGGGTATCAGGAGAGGAACAAAATGGGAGCTGATGAGACAGAATACACTTCATTACGTATATGGAAATCTCATAATGAAACCTACTATTATGTATAATTAATATGTACTAATAAAAACATTTTATAGAAGAAATTATTCTTTAAACAGGCTGGGTGGTACTAGGGGAGGCATACGCACTGGCACTGATGTTTGCAACCTTAAAGTACTTTCTAAAATAAGGTGGGTTGATGGGCAGCTATGTAATAAGTCAAGAGAGTCAAATCTCAGTTGTAGAATGTGGATGAGGAGTTGTCTCTGCCTCTCCATTTCCCATCACTGAATGTTCTCAGAATGAGACAGTTAGGATGAGTATTTAAGCGTCTGTACTCATCAGACGTCATCTGGGCTACTCTAGGTTTCCCTCTGTTCTAGACCAGGGTCCAGGGTCTCACATTGTAGCTACTTGCTCTCTGCCTCCTGAATCTCCTCTGGTATTTTCAGGGTTTTTCTTTATTTCCTCATCTTTTTTCATGTCCTTAATAGTGTCAAGGAATACTGGTTGGGATTTCTGTAAAATGTTCCTCAATGGGGTTTGTCTGGCTTTTTGTCCCCCAATATAACAAGAGTTTATTTAGGAAAAGTGTTTCATATGAGACAATACATAACTCAACCCTACACCATAGTCAATGATGCCCTTGGGGAGGGATGTGGATCCTCTGCCAAACTCACAGCTACTGTTTAGACTCTCTCCAAGGCTTCTAACATGATGCTGTTTCCACGTGTGACCACCACTCCCATGTGATTTTGTGCTCACCGGCTGTCCTCTCCATATATTCACCAATCCAGGAGTCATATAGAGACCAAACCCTCGGTATTCCCTGTACAGGTCTGCCACCATTTAACCTCAGTGACAGCATCCTGTTGACGCATTTCTTCAGCTCGGAAGGGTAAGTCTAGCTCAAGATGACACCTCAGCAAGCTCAATGCAGTGGCCAAGGAGTGGAAGTGTCTGCCATTTTTTAACAGCTGTCGTGGGCTATGGGTTTGGGAAGACAGCAGGTTAAGGTTCTGAGATCACTGTATGTATACCCACGCTGTCACAGGATGGCTAAACCCTAGGTTAGCTCTCCCTTCTCATTGTCTACCCTTTAGAGGACTCACAAACCTCAGCCTCAGTCTACCCTCAGTGAGCATGAGGGAGTGGGAACTTCAGCCTTAGGCTCCTGAAGAAAAAGGTACCTGCAGCAAGTATTTGAAATTCTCCTCTAAGAAAGCTCTTTCCTGACTTAGCATAAACCCATGTCCTGTGAATACATATATTATGCTTTGTATTATTATGCAGTACCACACTATTTATTTTGTTGCTAAAGTTAGCTCTGGCTGTTAAGAGCTCCTTGAGGTTGGCTCCTTCCTCCTTTCAACATGCCCACATCCTTTGTTTTTTTCGGAGCACTTCCTCATTTTCTGGCCACACAAGATGCTCCAGGTCTATAATCATGCTTCCCAAGGAGTCCAACTCACTGGAGAACGGCACCAATGGAGTGAAGAGATGGATGTGTCTATTACTAACAGAGTGTCAAGGCTGCGAGGCCCGACCGCTCCTGTGTGTGCAGCAGCCCATTTACACAGGCTTACTAATCAACTCTTTGTGGCTCAGTATTTAGCCCAACCCAACCCCACACTTGGGTCTCCAACATCTCGGTCTTTCTTGCTCACATCACACCACCTGAACCCCTGTGCATACACAAGAGAACTCCAGAACTGCTGACCCATACCACATGAGAAATTTTGCCAACTACAGTGCAATGTGTTTACCTTTCTTTTTTACTTTATATTTATACTCGAAATACAAGTCTTCAAAGTGAACTAGGTCTCTAGGCCTTGTGTCCCAATCTTCAGTGTCACTGTCATACGTACACCCTACCCTCACAAACAGCTACTGCCTAGAGTCTGACCTAAATATACTCAGTTCTTCCATGCCTGATCTAACCAGAGTGCTGTGTACACATGTTCTGCCATACCCGTAATGCTATGACTCTTAGACCTGAAGGGCTCACCTGGCACCCAGCTCAGTTCATGAACACAGAAGTTGCTCAGATGATTAAAAAGATAAACAAGCTACACAGATTTAGTCATTTTATGTTAATTTAATGACGTTTAATGGTTGGAAGACACTCATCAAAACTTGAAGTACGATTTATCGAAACACCTAGAATTCTGTAATAATAGTTATAAATTTAACTTTACTCCTAACAGATTAAAGAGAAAATTATACATGATGGTTGAGAATCATTTGAATACACATTGGTATGTGATAAAAATATACCACACTTGTGTACAAAAAAAAAATTATGTGGCTAAATAGCAAAATAAGAATAGCACGCCATTTAGCATATGTCTGAAAAGAAAAACACTGAAGGACACATACCAAGTTATTTTTAACCTCCTTTCTTTCCTTGTCCTTAAATTAAAATTAAGGAGCCTGTTTGCCATGTGGGAAACAAGTATTGATCTCAACAAAGAAGAAAACCAGCCCAGTGTTGCACACCTTTAAGACCAGCACCCAGGAGGCAGAGGCAGGTGGGTCTCTGTGAGTTTGAGGCCAGCCTGCTCTATTGGTGCTACAGAGAGAGAAAA